TTACGAGGAATTAGGAGGAGGAGGACAATTCAACGAAGGAGAAAGGACAAGAAAATTTATGCAAAATGTATTTAAAAATAGTTATGAAATAAGTAATTTAAAATTTATATTGATAGCATGTTTTGAAAATACATTTTAGATTAGTTGTTTTAAATTTTATTTTCAGATATATTTTTTAAAAAAGTATTTCGGAGCTTAACAGTAATTTTCTATTCTTGGATTGTCCGGTAAAAAATAAAATAAAAGTTACATAATTGAGAAAAAAATTATATCGCGATTATTTCTTAACACATTGATGATAAAAGTAGAGTCTCTCATGAAATATCGACTAATAGAACGATAATTGATATAACAAAATGTTAAAAAAAAAATACATATTAGGTGATAACTATAAATATATTAAAAATTAATCAGTAAGATTGCATTTAATTAAAAAAATAGGAAATATTAAAACATAAAGTTTCAAACACCAATATATATATATATATATATATATATATATATATATATATATATATATATATATATATATAATTTACTTCTCCTATTGGGTTTTGGTCCAAGGCCCGTTATGAAAAATTGACATTTTTTTGCTTCTAGTCATGGAAAAAAAGTTGTTAGGTTCTGGTTCAGACCTTATTAATCTGTTGTTCTCCTACTGTGTTTTGGTCCAAGGCCCAATATGAAACCATCCCATTCCCCCAAACACACAAAGTTCTATACACTTATTGGGCTTGTACGCGTCGTTTAATTGCAGTAATTTTTCATTTTTTTCTAATCTCCTAAAACTATTTTTTGCTTTGATTACTATCAATATTTATAAGTAAAGACCTTTTGTAATTTAGAGAATCCTTAACTATTCAATTTTGAATGAATTTATTGATTTAAATTTTACTTATTGTACGATTGATTTCATAAGTTATATATAATGGAAACATTTACAGTACATGTCAATTATGTTTTAAACACTCTAAATTTTACATACAATTAGGCTGATTTTTTTTTTTTTTTTACAGGAATTCAAACTAATTGATGCATCATTAGAAATTAACTTGGTTTGGTTAAATCTCAATGATATTTAGGATTTATTAGAAGATATTGAAAGTCTTGGATAGTCTATTTTATATAAATTGGTATAATCTAATATTGGGTTAGGTATATTTTTAGTTCCTATACTTTCATGTGAAATTGAAAATAGTCATTTTGTCATAGTTCAAATAAAAATGATCCATATATGTTTGAAATAATTGAAATATGTCCCTATTTTAAACACGTGTAATTATTTTTAAAAAATAAAATTAAAAGGTGTCAAGCTTTTAAAAGTCATTTAAATCCCTATTTATAACATTTAAAAGTCATTTAAAAAGAATTTTAAACTTTTCTGTCATTTATAAGTCATTTAAACTTGTCTACCTTAATTTTTGGAAATGAAAATCATAGCTATAGTATACCACCGTTGTGCACCACCGTCGCACTGTCACACTATCGAACTTCAAAATCACTTTGACTTCATACAACTTTTATAGAGAAAGGGGAAGAAATAAAATATCTTTGGTGTGTGACAAAAAAAAAAGAAGAGAAAATGAAAAATAGTTGTGACGAGAAAAGAAGAGAGAATGAAAAGTGAGTGTAACGAGAACTAAAGAACTTTGGTGCGTGAGGAGAAAATAAAAACTTATAGTTTTTAATTGTATTTTTTTGTTTGTTTTAAATAATAATTTCTATTTTTTTTAAATAACTTTATTTTTTTTAAATAATTACACGTGTCAAATAATAAATGATTATACTATCTCTCGTTAGACATGTCACATATATTTAATATCGTTTAAAATAAAGACTTATTCCAATTATTCCAAAAGTATAAAAATCATTTTTATGTGAACTTTAACAGAAAAATTATTTCCAATTTCACATGAAAGTATAAGGACTAAAAACATACTTAACCTTCTAATATTTATATTATTCTACTTCATGTATTTTTAATTGATTTTATATACAAATCTTAATTCCTTATAAGTAATTCACAATATAATAAAATAAAATGTGCATACGAAGTTAGTGATTTTTTTTTCTTTTTATTTTTTTAGTATTTCTCCATATATCAAAGCTCAGGTGCTTTAATTTAACTTATGAGCCAACTTCAGCATGTCACAAAAAGCAAAGATCAAATGTTTAAATAATAATCACACATTCTATGATTAAAAAAGATCCAATCTTCCACAAATTCTCTAATTTATAATATTTTAAAAGTGGTTTAAAAGATGTGTTTCAATGTCAAGATTCATTATAATCTCATGTTTTGACATATGAGCACTTAAATTATGTTATGATCTCTAATATCAAATGTTATCTGATATAATCAAACGTCTAATTATATTATATCAGTTTCCTGTTGACTTAGTCTAAATTTGATGTTTTAGTTACTACAGTTAAACTAATTTTACATTTTTTTTATTCTATTTTAAAATTAAACCTTTTAGTTTTCACATCCAATAATTGTAATATTGTTATCTTTAGTTTTAAAAATTAATAATAATGTATTTGTTTGTAAACATCACTTTTTTTAAATTATTATTTATAAAATTTAAGATTACATTTATTATTTTTTATCAATTATTTTCTATTATATATTTTGTAAATAATAAATAACAAAATGTTAGAAATAATTTTGGATGAAGGAAAAGACATTTAAATGATAAAAACACTAATAAAAGAAATCAATAAATTTATTAATATATATTGTCATTGAGACAGAGGGAATATTGTCTAAAAAAAAAACTAAGTAACCACTCTTCATGATATCTCTCTCCAAACTAGATTAAGTTCTTATTTAATATTTTTATTTAATCATTTACTTCAACAATAATCCTAAATTGTTTTACTTTGACAAATATAAGCATTTGTTTAATGATTAATCATTTCATTAGTCAACTACCCTTTGTCATGAGTTTGTTTTTCCACGATTTTTCGCAATCAAGCTTTTATTTATTTTTTCTTTATTTGAAAAAAATATATAAAATAAAACTTTGACTCGATAAAACGTGATCGTTGATTAGTATGTTGACATATTTTTCAACATTTTAGTCCTGCCGTACAACAACTATTATTCTTATGGACGGTCATAGAAGGTTTTGAATATGTTAATCTACCATTTATTTTATTATATATGATTTCAGTTTATGTAAAATTAGTGATTTTTTTATTTTTTATTTATAATTATTTTATTTATATACATTTTAAAATAATTATTTAAATTTGAATAAAATATTTGAGTTTTAGTTTAATTTTATAAAAGAATTTGTATTTATTCCTCCAATTTTGTAATTTAAGATATATAAATATTTTTTTTTACAAAATATAAGATTATTTTCTAAATAAAAATTATGTATATATTTTAAATTCACCTGTTCATCCCGGATCAAGTAAACCCGTCATTTAAAAAACTTTTAAATTTATGTTTGAAAAACCAAAATATATACTTATTAATATTATTTATTTATTTGATAAATTTATTTTATACGAATAAAAAAAATTAAATAATAACTCAATTTTTATAAATGTTACATCTTTAATTAAATTTATCTCTTTAAGGCAATTTAATTTTTTTGTTATTTTTTTAAGCGAAGTGGAGTAAAGATGTAACAATCACGTGACATGTCACGTGTACCTGCAGTTTGATATACATGTACAATTTGGTAAGTTGGAGCAAAATTTCAAATCATTTTCTAAGCGTTTTACATAATAAATATTTTTGTAATATCATGAAATTACTATAATAAAATTTTAAGAAGGAGGATTTAGAACAAACCAATGATTCATTTTGAAAGTATTGTAATATTTAAGAAGACCAACTAAAGTGCACAATAAAATCATTAAAACTGATAACTAGATTATTGAAGTACTAAATGTATAATTTATGACATAATTTTTTGATGGATTAAAAAAAAAACAAAATAACTACAAACTTAAATTCCAATCTTAATTTTTATATTCATTATTATATCTTATAACTACAATTTTATATTTATATTTGACATGTATAAAAAACCTATAAAATATATATAAAATATTATATTTCTAAACTACTTTCCTCTAAAAAAAATAATAAATAAATACTTGTATCAATATTTAAATTTAGTTTTTTTTAATGTTTAGAAATTACCTTCTATAGATGGGTGGAAATTATGAATAATGAGTCTGAATATACAGAACTTTTCTTATAACTCTTAAAATAATTATAAAAATATGAAAAAAATTCACGTTTTATTTTATTAAAAAATATTAAGAATTGTTTATTTTAGAGGAAGAAAGTATTTTGATAATATGTATTATAATAATATCCTTAAATTTATATATGTTATAATAATATAGATTGATCAAGATGTATAAAATTCAAATCACAAGAAAAAACAAATGGGATTCAAATTGAATTATTATTTTTTAACTCATTTATTCCATGATTAAAAAAACTTAAACAAAATTTACTTATAAACTTGTAAATTAACCAGTTTTATGAAATAATTACTATTTTAAAATTTTTTTTCATGATTTTGGTATGTTCTTATACAAACAGAACCTCTGTTTATCTCAATCCCAAAATCAATTATAATAATTTTTTTGTTCTGATTCACTTCAATGGTTACATGATACTCTTTCTGGATAGATATTGATTTGATTATATTGTTTTTATTTACAAACATTTAAATTTGAATAGTAAAACATCTTACTTTTAAGTATACTTTGATTGAAATCAATCAGTGTGAATAAGGTCCAAACTAATAATAAACAAACCGTATAATTAATTAAGATGGATGAACAGAATCGCAGTGACACAAGTCAAAAGAAGATTTTCCTAAAGCCAGATCAAGAAAGAAGAACCGAATTTCTGTTGAGCTCGTTTATTCAACTCACTCACGTGCCGTTATCTTCATCATCATATTTGCGTGTAGGAATGAAATGTGTGAAAGGAGGCACGAACCACCCCTCTCAGACACCACGGAATGACGGTCCGATCAATCAAGCGGTGATAAACAGTCCACGTGGCGCGCAGTACCTGACGGAATTGGTAAAAGCCCTCAAGGCCCAAACAAAATACTGTGGAACCCATCCAATGAAAAAAATAAGGAATCTCTCTCCCATTCTCTCTCTCACACTCGTTCTATTCCATTCCATTTCATTGCATCAATTCCTGTCAATGTGATCTGCGACTGTGACAGAGACACACAACGACAAAGGGCAAGAATCAGTAGGCTCAACGTTAAGCTATCACTTTCACACGTCAAAGCCATTGAGATTTAAGCCAACCCGAGCGCACACATAACACAATTCATTCAAATTTCTCCTTCGCTTCCGGCTCGGGATGCCTCGCCGCTGAACCGGACCGGTTCTGCTCGGAGAGATCTTCGGCTCGGCTGTACGCATTCGTTGCGGCGGTGATGAGAGGGAGCTGCTGCGGGTGGAACCGTCGGACAGAGCAGCGGTTCCGCCTACTCGCGATCTCTACAGTTAAATCAGTGAAGATCAAGCTTCTGCTCTGTTGCTGCGTCGCCTTCACGCTTCTCGCGTTCTCCACAAGCGCTTCTTCCTTCGTCTTATGGAACAACCAACCGCCTCCTCCATCTAGCTTCCCCGATTCCAGGTTCTCAATGTTTTCTTCCTTTCTCTTCTATACTTCATTAATTTAATCCCTTTAATTTGCAATTACTTAATACATACTTCACTCGATAATTCCAAATATTAAATTAAACAAATAAGATCGGTTCGTTTTTGGCAACGGATTCTTTTTTCGGGAAGTTTTTTATTCTTTATTTTTTATTTTTGGGCATTTCATGGGTTTCCATATACGTGTTGGCTACTGAGATTCTGTTTGATTTGTATTCGTCGTTTTCCTGTTTCCTGCATATGTGGGGAAAAAAAATATAAAGAAAGGGATATATGTGTGTATAGGTTTTATTTGCCAGGTTAAATTTGGAAAGAGCATAGGGGGATGAACCTGATGTGTAGCTCGTCGTTTTGGAAGCAAGCTACTTAAGTGATTGGTGTTCATTTCGAAGGAATTTTTGAAATATTAGACGGATGAATGATTTTTTTTGGGTCTTTGGATCTTGGATGTTGATGTCTGGGAAATGTCTTCCTGATGTCACTATTACTATTAATATCGTTTACACTTTGTTCATTACGTGTGTTTTGTTGTTAAGTGAGAAGATATGTGATACAATTGGGGTTGATAAACATGTATTTGATGGAGCATTTTATATTACGAACTTCATCACTTTTTTTACTTATTAGTTTCTAGAATTGAAAATCGAGTGAATGAAACAGGATTTGGGGGTTTGGTGGTTTATAATTTTTATTATTAACCTGTAACCTTGCTCAGAATAACTTTAACCTCCTAAGTCATATATTATAGATAAATATATCCGTAGTGTTTGGTCTGGGGATTCGTGGTATTTTCTTGAAGAGTAAGGAGCTTATGTTGCCTGTGATATCAGAGGACTCATTGTCGTTTAATGTTTTTGTTCATAGGAAAGGGTATTCTATAGTAATGAACACGTGGAAGAGATATGATCTGCTAAAGCAGTCCATCAAGCATTATTCATCATGTCCTCGTCTTGATTCAGTACATATTGTGTGGAGTGAACCCAATCCTCCTTCGGATAATCTTCTAAAATTTCTGCACCATGTTGTGAAGTTCAAGTCTAAAGATGGACGGCAAGTGAAATTGAGATTTGACATCAACAAGGAAGATAGCTTGAACAATAGATTTAAAGAAATAAAGGATTTGGAGACAGATGCTGTCTTTTCTATAGATGACGATGTCATATTTCCTTGCTCTTCAGTGGAGTTTGCATTTGATGTTTGGCAAAGTGCGCCCGATACGATGGTTGGATTTGTACCTCGTGTCCATTGGATGAATTCATTGGTATATGGTTTATCTGTTTTTATTAAATTATTGTCCACTCTCTCCTGTTAGTTTTGGTCACACAATATCTTTTTTGCCTTTGCTTTTGGAGCTCAAACCTGAGAGGAAGTGTATGATTAATTTAGAATGGAGGCGTGGAGCAAGTCAGTCATTTCTATTTTAACTTTCGTGAATGATTTCTTGTTCTTTGCTTGCTCTTGCTCTATACTGCCTCGATTACTCGTATAGTTTACCTTTCAAAATGTTATTTTCCAAAAATATAGAAAGCATACTTTCGTGAAACATATGGCCTGGATATATATTTCAATTTTGAGCGAGATTTCCGACTGACAGCAAAACAAGAACAGCACATTTTGGAAAGCTTGTGTATTTCCTTTAAAAAATGGATCCTTATCGTGAATTTGAGACCTGTTATATTTTCTTGATAAGTATCTAATATAAACGGAAAGAACGCTGAGCTTCTGTCACGGAGGAAATAACTCCATCAATTAATCTTCAATCCATACTTTTAGAAGCTGCTATTCTTTGTTTGATGCATCTTTAAACTTGAAGTGAACCTTCATGATTATTGTAATGTTTGATCCTTGAACCTGCAAGATTTTAGATGTCCTTCATTAATTTTCCCAAGTTTAGTGCTTTGACAGGAAAAAATATGAAAAACTTTTAAGACTAATGTTTGATGTTATTCCATTTGCTGGCAGAAAGATAATGACAACAAATTTAGCTATGGTGGATGGTGGTCTGTATGGTGGACGGGTACATATAGCATGGTGCTCTCCAAGGCAGCGTTCTTTCATAAAAAGTATTTCAATATTTATACAAACGAGATGCCATCATCTATTAGAGAATACGTAACCAAAAACAGGTTTTTCCCTGGATACGAATTATTCATTACCTTCTTTTTAATTAGATTTCAATCTTTCAAGTTCGGTTCCACCCTTTTTTAATTATTTGCTCAATAATTGAATTGGTTTACCAGGAATTGTGAAGATATTGCAATGTCTTTTCTCGTTGCAAATGCTACTGGTGCACCCCCCATATGGGTTAAAGGTAAATGATTCAATATCAAACAAATTGTTTGACCTTTTGAGTATTTTTCTTCTTGTAAAGATGAAAACAGTTAAGAGCTAAACAATGCTATATGGTATAAGCATTGCATAGGAATCACATGGATTATTATTTTTTCTATTTTGCTTGTTCAGTTCAGAAGTTTCTTATCTTAACTAGCTAAAAGTGCATAGTGTCCTTGTTTTCCCGTTAGTGGTCATTTTAGCGATGAGCTTCCCTTATACAGGGGATTCATCTTCTTCCTATGATTAAGTTGTGGATGGGGAGCGAATAAATGATACATTTGTATCTTTACTATGTCAAAACTACACATGAAAGGAACAGATTTTTAGCATTTTGCTACTTATTGTTCCTAGACCTACGAGTAGTTTCCTCTGTTCATATAAAGGTGTTTCCTCTTTCCTCTCTTTCTTGCATACGATAGTAACTGATATCTGGTTAGCATACGTAAATAGGTATACCATTAGCAAAAATAAACAGCACTTAAGATTCCTCTTTGTCCCTTGCTTCCTGTGCCGCAGACAGCGGATTTACAGTGTATTATGCATAATGCATCTGAATACAGCTAGGTTAATTCAGCTAGAATTGAGATGGAAGCTATCTCCAACTCATTAAAACATTTATTATTACAGTGTGGAATTTTAGTTCCTTTTCTATCAGCGTAATTTTGCGGTGCAAGCTTAGCTATGAATTAATAATAGTATTTATTTCATTTATCTTTGATTTCTCTTGGTGATCACTGAAACAGTGTGACGTTAATTATTCGTTTGACACATATATCTGAACCTCGCGATGGTACTGGTGTTTTGTAACAAATTTTGTATTATTATCAAGCCAGTGGCCAGTCTTCTGTTTAAGGGATTAATATATACATTCTTGATTAGCTGATTGTGAAGTTCTATGCTAATAACTGGTTTTATGATGTGAAGTTCACTAATGGTTTATAGAAATTAAACATTGCTCTCATTATTTGTAAACTACAGTGTTTACATATACCACCCTTGCATAGCTATACGAATGTTAACTTGATCGATTTGTTATTTTTTGTAACAGGTAAAATATTTGAGATTGGATCGACTGGAATCAGTAGTTTGGGAGGTCACAGTGAAAGAAGAACAGAATGCGTCAACGGATTTGCTGCCGTCTACGGGCGGATGCCCTTGGTATCAACTTCAGTTAAGGCTGTTGATAGCCGCAATATCTGGTTTTGGTGACGCTGGAATTTTGATTTTCTTTGCGTTTTTAGAAATTCCACTTTCGTCGATTAGTAGTAGCTCCATCCACGTTAGTCACGCAGAGCTGTATTATATTGGATCTTACACTCAAATTAGTTTGTTTTGCCGCTAATTGATCAAATTTTTTAGGTTGATTTCTTGTATTATTGATATGTAATACAAGTCAGCATCCTATGGTGTTTTTTTCCCAAAATATTAAGAATTTGATTGTAGAATATCACTAAGGTTTTAAAGGTTTATTACACCACTAATGATGAAGCTCTATCTGTGATAGAGATTTTCACGTGATCTCATCTGCTATTTTTCGCATTACTTAGATAGGTGGGGACTAACTAGGTTCACAGAACAGATTTAAATCTATAATAATAGCCAAGTCGTCAAATAGATATCTTTATTGTGTTTGAAGAATATTGGAAAATGGGATTCATAATACAGCAAATGATTACACCATACACCATAGTCAATTGTTGTGAGAAAAGATTCCAAAAAAAAAAATGGTCAAAGTAAATTTAAAGCAAATTAAAACATTTTTGCTAGTTTCTAATATCTTTGTTGAATATGGAGGAAATAGGATTTGAGATTAATCTCCTTTCTGTATAAATTACACATAAGGTAATCTATTTATAGTAGAGAAAAGTACAATTAAAAAAGTAATCAAAATAAACAGAACATATTTTTTGATATTATAGTTTAACACTATTTAATAATATCTAAACAATATCACACACTTCCCATTAAGCTGGAGTATACAAATCATATGTGTCAAACTTATTACAAATATAATCAATTTTAGGCCCCCGTAAAAATTTAGTAAAAATATCTGTTAACTGATCACTTGAATTAACCAATTCAGTCTTGATGTTTGTGTTTGGTCCTCTCATGAAAAACAGGATTAAAGTTAATATGAAGAGTAACCTGATTGTCACAAACAAATGTCATTTGAGTGACATCTCCAAATTGTAACTCTCTAAGCAATTGCTTGAGCCAAACAAGTTCTTAGGTAGCTGAGGCCATAACTCTATATTCTGCTTCTACACTAGATCTTGCCACAACACTTTGTTTCTTCTTTTTTCATGAGATCAAGTTGCCACCAATGGAGACACAATATCCAGATATAGATCTTCTATCCGAAGGAGATCTTGCCCAATCAGCATCTGAGTAGCAAACAACTCTTGTATGGTTATTAGAACCATATAACAATCCTTTTACAGGAGATCCTTTAATATTCTTCAAGATACGAATGACTGCATTCCAATGATCTTCACATGGGGAATAAAAAAATTGACATACCAAACTGACTACAAAGGAAATGTCAGTTTTGTAAGATAATTCAATTGTCCAACCAATCTTCTATGCAACAACCCACGAGGTTGCTCCATATAAATTTCTTCTTACAAATCACCATTGAAGAAAACATTTTTAACATCCAGTTCATAAAAATGTCATTGTTGAAGAGCAGTCATGGCATAAATAAACGAACAAAAGTCATCTTTACCACGGGAGAAAAGGTATCTCCATAATCCAACTTTGATAGCAAACATCCACCTGCAACCAACAACAAATTTCCCAGACGGTAACGTAACTAATTCCGAAGTTCCACTACTATGAAGAACACTTAGTTCATCTAATATGGCTTGATGCCAACCAGGATGGGCTACTAAAGCTTCACAGACAATTTTTGGAATAGTCACAGAAGAAATAAAGGAAAAACATGTATAAAAAGGTAATGACATTCGATAATAACTCAAAGCAATATAATGGAGAGAGAGATTACGTGTAGAACGAATACCTTTTTGGAGGATAATGGAAAGGTCAGACTCAGGTGTCAGATCCGGAGGAGACAAAGTAGTTGACACTTGAGTGGAGTCACATGGTGGTGGTTGTGATTGGTTTCTGCAACTATAAACCTGAAGAGGCGGTGGAGAAGAAGCTGATTGTGGAGCAGAAACTAATGGTGAAGAAGACACAGTTAGAGGGTTACAAACAATAAGGACATTAAACGTACTAGGAGTGTTGACATGATTGGATGGAGACAGAGGCGGAGATTGACTTTTAAAATAAAGAAAGAACTCATCAAATGTAATATCTACAGACACAAAATAATGGTTAAGAGAAGGAGAAAAATATTTGTATCTTTTTTGTGATCTTGTAAACCCTAAGAAAACACATTTATGTGATTTAGGAGAAAACTTATCAAGACCAGAACTGAAATTATGAATAAAACATGTAACCTTGAAAACTCTTAGAGGTAAGGGATGAAGTGGTTCATAAGGGAATAAAATGGAATGAGGTATTTTATTATCTAAAACTGAAAAAGATATGCGATTAACGAGATAACATGTAGTAAGAAGAACATCACCCCAAAAATATTGAGGAACCTCTCCATGAATTAAAAGAGTGTGAGTTGTTTCAATAAGATGTATATTTTTACGTTCAGTTACACCATTTTGTTGAGGTGTATAAGCACAAGAAGTTTGATGTAAAATACCGTGAGAAGCCATGAATTGTTTAAAAGAATGAGAAAGATATTCACGACCATTATCACTGCGCAAAACTCTAATAGAAACACCGAACTAAGTTTGAATTTCATTAAAAAAAGTTTGAAAGATATGAAATAATTCAGAACGATTTTTCATAAAAAATAACCAAGTACATTTGGAATAATCATCAATGGAAGTAACAAAGTATTGAAAACCTAAAATAGACTTAAGGCGGCTAGGTCCCCAAATGTCAGAGTGAACCACGACAAAAAGGGACGAAGCACCACGTGAGGAAAGAAAGTACGACTATGCTTGCTAATTGACATGACTCACACGTCAAACTAGATAAGTTGGACAAGACAGAGACAAACTTCTATAACTTGGCAAGACTTGGATGACCTAACTGAGCATGAAGAAGAGAGGGAGACTCCATAATTGCACCAACATGTGTAAAGGGACGGAGATGATAAAGACCATGAGACTCACATCCTGTGTCTATCACCTGTTTCAAACTTCGGTCCTATAAACACACATAATTATTGGTAAAAGAAACAACACAATCAAGAGAACGAGTTAGACGACTAATGTACAACAAGTTAAAAGGAGACCCAGAGACATAAAGAACTTTATCAATAGTTAAAGAAAGGAAAAATTTAACAGTTCCAACACCATGAGATGATACTCTAGAGCCATCAGCCACTGTAACAGAGGTAAAAGATTAGGAAATGATAAAGAGGAGAACAAAAATTTGTTACCAGTAATATGATCAGTGGCTTCTGAATAAAAAATTCAAGGACCAAGAGAAGAGGATTGAATCAGACCAGCAAAATATGTACCTATGTGTGCGACAGATGTAGTGGAACTGGAAGACTGTTGATCCTTATACCATTTAAGAAATTTGTTAAACATAGTAGATGTGGCAGATGCAACAAAAGGAGGATCCCCAGCAGACAAAAGTGGGGAAAGATCGATCTGAACAACTGCAACAAATCGAGGAGGACGACCATGTAATGCATAACACTTGTTAATCTTGTGACCTAGTTTGCCACAATGTTTACACTTAAGACGTCATTTTCCCTGTTTGCGAGGGCGAGTCCGGTTATCACGGTGAGATGCCAACGCAGAAGAATCATTAGCAGAATTGGAAGTAGTAGAAGGAGTGGAATAAGTCATGAAGGGCGAGAGAGAAAACCCTAAAAAAAATCCAAAGTAATCCAATCAACCCACGAAACACAGATCCAAAACGAGAAGACCAAAACAAGTCTGTCGAGACTAAACGGTGCAAAAGACAAAGGATGACCAACTTCGATAATGGTGATCTCAATGACATGATGATTGTCTGACCAAGACGAGCAAAACTGTATGTTGCTGGTCAAAAATGAAACTCTGACGGCGGCTCCAACGGTGGCGGCGACGACGGCGTGAACTAGTACACCAGGTAAGTTTTCAGGAAAGAGAGGTGGGTCACTAATGGACATGCTTAAATAGCAAGTCTTTCCTTGTCAGAAGAACTTTCTTAGACATACACTTTCACACTACCAAATAATATCCAATAACAAAAATAACTCTTTTCTGATGTGAAAGATCAGTTTAACTGGCAACGACGGTGGCGACTCCAGTATTGAACAAAGGCGAAACAATTTCAAAATAACCTTAAACTCTGATACCATATTGAATATAGAGGAAATAGGGTTTGAGATTAATCTCCCTTGTGTATAAATCACACATAGGGTAATCTATTTATAATAGAGAAAAGTACAACTTAAAGAAATAGGGTTTGAGATTAATCTCCCTTGTGTATAAATCACACATAGGGTAATCTATTTATAATAGAGAAAAGTACAACTTAAAGAGTAACCGAAAATAAACCGAATAAACAGAAGATATTATGGTTAATAATATTTAACAATATATTAATAATATCTAAATAATATCTAACCATCTTCTTTTCACAATTACTTTTCACGTTTATTTATTAAGGTTATTCCATATGAAATTATATAACTAATGATTAATTCTCACAAGCTTAACCAATAAAATATTTTAAACAATAAAGATTAACTTTAGAGATTGTGTTGAGGTATGAGAGGTACAATTGACACTTATACTTAATTTTGAGGTAATATTATTCAGGCTAGACTCTTCATATTTAATATGAAGAATGATATCTGTTTCAGGAATTACTTGCATCAACGAACAACTATTCTGAAAAAACCGAAATCGACGAATAAAACTTAAATGCAAGTGGGACGTGGAAGTAGGAAAATTATGCCACCAAAAAGTACAATCAGTGAGCCATGATGAATCATATGAAGTATGTCATAGCTGTAAGTTGTCCAATTCATCTATAGAATAGGCATTAGCATCTTGTCCACAGGTGTTCCAGGAGAAACTGGCGTACTTGGATAAGTAATAAGTGTTGCCAGGATCTGCTTGCAATGCTTGCTGATATCTGAGTTCTGCTGCCCAAACATCCTTTCTCACCATCCACAAGAAGTCAGCATAGCGACTGAATGCCTCAGCCTCCGGTTTTTCTACCTGCACTGATAACTTGTAGTACAGTTCTGCCCTGAAAGCCCATATAAAATGTATTAAAAGTGAAAATAGAAATCAGAAATAGAAATAGAAATAAAATACACTGTACTGTATAAAAGGGCTACCGATGAAACTTGAACATACATTTACGTTATCTGTGATCCCCTCACCCATGAAAAGTTTACCTATACCCAGAACACATGTCAAGTAGTACCCTCATTTTTCCTCAATATTGCAAAATGTGACTTCTATCCATTCTACACCAAATTAGGTCTTAATTATGACTCAAATGAGCTTCACTAAAACCGTAAATTAAGCACCCTTCTCTGGTCTTTCTCACCAATCAAAAGGCTAAGCAGACAATTATTTTTAATAATATAATATTAATTATTATTATAATGTTAATAAAAATATTATCATTTGAATGTAAATTCTATATACTTCAAATTATCATTTTCCATTTGAAAACTTACTTCGTAATGTCACGAAAGACAAGGAAGAGAAACTGCGCATAGTTAGACAGCAGGAGGGAACAGTGTGGTGTCCGCTGCAAATACTTTCTGTAATAACGCTCAGTTTTCAAATATTCGTCGTAAAGATCCCCTTCAAGCTTCACAGAAACTGGGGCCACAAGCCGCTGCCTTGTGTGGTGGTCCAAAACCTCACTCCTCATTTCCTTTTGCAACATTGCAGCCTTCTCTTGCAAGGAATTCCACAACATTTCCTCCTCCTCTGACAACTCATGTTTCACATACTCACCTTGATGAACACCAGTACCACCTTGTGAATGTTGTACTTTATTCTCATTGTTAGTCAAGGGTAGATCCTTTGTGACCATAGAGGGAGCGATTGCCTTGACAGTGTTGTCATTCATAGAGAAGAACAAGAAGTTAGCTACGAAGACCATTACATCGACCATGAGAGTTGGGGTCTTCCAGAAAACCAGCTGGAAAAGCCAAACTAATGAAGCATCCATTTCTCTCCCTAGCTTGGCCATGAAATTTTCAAGGTATTCACCACACACACTCTGCCTTGTTTGCAAGGCATGATTTTGAAGCTCATGCATGATAAACACCATAGAGGAGAAGGTCTTCTTCACAGAACAGTTAGTTAATCCGGTCAACTCACCAGCCTCTTTGAAACCCTCTTCCAATTGTAGCTTCTTCTTGATCATCCTAATGGACAAAGGAATTTCCACACTGTTTACTTTCCTCTCAAACCTAAGTCTCAAAATCTCATCCCTCTCTGGCCAGCTTGGTGGCTCAGGCTGGATTCCCAAAAGAGAAGGCTCCAAAACATCAGGCTCCATTGTCCCAAATTCCTCAGACGAACCTCTGCCCGAGACATTTTTTACTTGTTTGTTTGGAGTATTATCAGAGGCAGACGAAGCAATTTCATTACCATTTTCATCACAACAACCACCCTCGACCACATTCATCATTTCCTCTTGGTGAAAGTCATCATCAAAAAGGGCAGAGCAAACACTTTCCCTCTTCGCACTCTCAAATTCCTTGACCTATAGATCAACCCACATGGCATAACATAGTTCCTCTCAGTGACACGCCTCAGTAGCGCAGAAGAAACTGCACGAGGTGTCTTCCAAGAGTCACAATAATAAGGGGTCCTGAAGTGCCAACATTTCAGATTGGGAGAGACTCTTGAACCCATGATCGATCACCCAGTTCTTCCAGGGATCACAGGAACAATGAATAACACTAAAAAAAAAAAAATCACCTAAAAAGTGTCTTGTTCCCGGTATCAATAACACAATCAGATCACTTAGATTTTATAAAACTGAAACGGATAAAAATAAAAACGATCGAGCAAAAAGGGTGTGAAAATCAGGTGTAGGTATAGAATTTACAGAAAAGTAATTAAGAAGGACAAGAATGAAAGAAGGTGTTGGTTCACGGGAGTTAGGGAACCGAGTGTTGTATATCGAAAACTAACACAGAACAGATGGCAACAGAAGAGGGTACTAAATTACTGAAAAAGTTGGGAGTTTGATGAGCTATAGGAGGGCTTTGACGATGGATGCAGAAAAAAAAAAAAATGAGAGGAGTGGATAACATGTGGGGCCGATTAACGTGGCAATGAGATAAAGTTTAAAGATATTTAGTTTGTCTTTTATTACTTTTGCAACGTATTTTGCATGATATATATTGATTGGTGCATACTCTTTTTCGTTCAATGCTTTGTTCCTCAGCCAAATAGCGATGCCAGGCATACGCAACGGATCACTTTGGTCACCACTAAAAACTGTACCTTTCCATCACCTATGCTCCTCATGTTTGGCAGAGATAGAAGCAAAAGATAATTTTTATTTTATTTTTTAAATTATGGAACATTCCAAATCTCTTCAATTCAAACTATGTTATCGGAGTATGATCATTGATACGACTTATTTTAATTTAATTAATAATTTAAATTCAAGTTGGCAATACATAAGTATTTTACAAATTTAGTGTACAAAGTTTTATCTAATTTCACGAAAACTATTGTTAGAGATATTTTGTATCTAAAAATCTTCCTACCGCATCCTTTCTATAAAAAGACTATAAACCCTATTAATAACAGAAAGATTATATATTGACAAATATAAATAATAATAATAATAATAATATAATAAATAATATTATAATATTAATTTTTTTAATTATAACAAAGATGTTTTTTAAAAAAATGGTTAAAAAATCATTTCTCTTAATAGTACTATAAACTTAAAAAAAAAAGACTAATTTATTTGTCCACCTTTAATTTTCAACTTCGGTATATTATGAAAATGGGTATCATGAAAGCACTTAATCAATATTAATTAATTTGATTTATATTAAAAAGATAAATATAATATGTCTAACATAATTCAATGAATTCAATTCAAATTTTAAAAATAAACAATGAAACTTAATAAATGAAGAAATTTAATTTAAATAAATAAAAGTTGAACGATACATATTCGAAGACTAATTTAAAAAGCAAATTATATCTATATTTTTTTAAAATTCCCGTACTCAAATGGATCAAATTTTTGTGGGAGCTAATAAGATAAAGAGTAATGATAAACATATATGTTTTTATATATGTATTAGACATTTTTTTTCTTTTATCTCTTCTTATCACGTGATATCTTTTACAAATATGTTAATTTTCATTTTTTTTTGTTCATTTTTTTTCCTTTGTCTAACTGACAACAAGGATTTTGGTGTATACTAAGTTTTTTCGTTAGATAAAGTGCATTATCAACTTGAATATCAAACTTCCTTCGTGTACTCATTTGGTCTGGTTGAAATTGGTATTCATAGTTTTATGTTTTTGAAAAAATTTCTCTCCTTCACATCCGGCTCGGCTATTCATGAGGGGTTTGAAGAAGGCATGAGAGAGGAGCTTAATTTAAATTTTCAAAGTTGAATTGAATAGAGTGAATTTTACTTAACTTGTTGAACATGATTTGGATTAACTTTTCTTGTGTTGACTTGACCCAAGTACACATTGCTAATTTAGTTTCATTTGTGTATCTTGAAGGTTAAACATGAATTAAGAGGATGATTAGGACTTTCACATGAGAAACTAGGATTGATCCACATGTGCATTAGGTTGAAATCATAAAGCATAAAACAATAACACGAAGAAAAAGATGTTTTATAATGGTGAATGAGACAAATATGATCTCCTTCTTAATCTTAGTCAAAAATCACCATAGGAGTCCAACATTTTATTTGTGTTTTTCTTTTTTCATGTTAAGATTGTAGAAGATACTTTTTAGGGTTTACAAATATACTATTTTAAAACTTTTCTTAATTGTTAAGAAGTTTCTAATACTATCTATTTAAGAGGTGTTTTTTCTCTTTTGTAGAGGTTGAACATTTAAAATTAAAATACTCCTTTGTTCAATCATATTTTTGTGAATATTTTTTTTCTATAAAGAAGACACCATAATCTTATCTTAATATTAAGGAAGTGACAATTTCATCACCTATATCTTTACTTATTATCCTTATTATGATCATTATCGATATAGTGATAGGTCTCCTCCCTATTAACATCTTTTATATCTTATATTTTATTGTTTTTTTTACAATTTTCACTTCTTGATCACGTGTTCTTTGATAATCAATATTGTTGGAAAAACACCTTCACGTTAGATAACTTGCTATATTAGTATCCAATAAAAAATTTCCCTATATTTTATTAAGTAATTCAATACCCTATTTAAAAGAATTAAAATAAAGCTACATCAGGGTTGCTGCGGGTGGTACCGGCTGTTCCGCCTACTCGCGGTCTCCACGGTTAAATCATTTTCGCTCGTAAACATGGTGGTGTGTGTTTGCTGTTTTTTAATTGTGAGCATGACTGTTCTCAGCTTCCAGAGGCACCCAAAAATGGGGTTTTACCCAATTCCGAGATCCAGAAAAGTTTCCCTTAAAGATGCCAACTTGGGCAGGTTTGCAAACGATACTTCTGCAATCTGGGCTCGCATATTGGGATTTTCAACTATCCCTCTGCATTTTCTTCAGCTAATGTGAAATTGGGTGAGCTTGTGAACTATGATTCCTTGTCTGGGTTTCCCCTGTACGTTTCAAAAGACATCGATAAGGAATGCTTGTCGTTAACAGGATACTATCAGAAGCAGTAGATGTTAAAAAAAAGAGAGGTTGTTGTGCATGTCATGGATGGGGTTATCATGAACCTTGAATTTGAGCAATCAATTCTCTCTGACAATGATAGAGAGAGAGTTTATTGGGGTTTTTTCGCACTTTGAGTTCATACAATAGTTTTATTTGTTAGTTCTACCATCTTTGTAAATTCTAATAATGTATTCCTACCAAACAACCAAAAATAAAGTGGTTAATAAAAAAAGTTCATGTTGAAAAGATAAACTAATAAGAGATTTGACAACCTAATAAAAAGTATTGACCTGTTCTCAATTTACTTTCTTCCTAGAATTTGTGTACACCATATTAGATGTTTTTGACCATTTTTTTATAAGGAAATCTAGTTTAATTATCTTCTAGATCTAGACTAACTGGAAGAGAATTCCAAACCTGTTCTTTGTTTCAATTTCTTATTTACTTATAAAATCGTCCATTCCAACATAATTTTCTGGTCCAACACAATTTTTATTTAGAATAGTCAAATAAAATTATTTAGTCAAGTTATTATTTTTAATGAAATACTATATTAACGTCAAACAAAAGTGAAAATGTTTGTCCAATTTATAATTGTTAAACTTCTTATACGATAGGTTATAAGTATAGTTTATATTTATTAAAAAACCATTGATACGTATCATCTACACGAACAATTCAAGTTATAGGATCATCATCACACTGAACATATAGAATTTCAAGACCTAGCTTCTTCCTAGAAACTGTGCGAAACTGTCCCGTGTTTGAGCAGAGCATCTGTATCCTTAGACTCTTCAGCTTTGCCCCAAACACATTCCCTTACTTCTTCATTATTAAGGTCAAATGGGAATGTGATGGCTTGATAATCAAGTCCTCTTTTCTGATAAACTAATCATGCGTTTTTAATTTTTACTTTTTACCACGTTACAAAGATATGTATGCAAGTGCTAACTGGAGTGATTGAAGAAATAATTAAGAAGCGAAACTCGCAAGTCTGTGGATAAATAGAAACCATGCACAGTGATTACACCATCCATATCTAACGGTGTCAGATTTCGTTCAACCGTAAGGTAATAACTTACAGTAGAGAAAAGAATATGATTCAAAAAATAGTCAAATAATATTTTACAGACACATATTGGTGTTTACATCAACCTAATACAAAATTCAATCCTTTCTTTCTTTCTTTCTTTCTTTCTTTCTGTGCTTTGTGTGTAGGTTTAACTATGAATTGAATTGAAGTGAATTAATTAATTAATTATCCAATTAGAACTAGCAAGGAAGCAGCATATTGTGATTATTTTCCCAGTAGTAACTGAGAAATGTCTTGGCAGCATCCAAGCTAGGGAAATAGGTGGGTTCAAGGAATATCTGAGTTAACCCGTCGGCCTCGGAGCTTCCCATCACAACCGTCACAACCTGCTTGTAAGCGAAGAAGAACCTCTTCATCGCCACCTCAATCGCTTGCATACCCTGCAAAACAAGAACCTTCTCGAACCCCTTCGTTTTCTCCGCGTACACCTTCATCGCCGCCTCCATCATCCCGGGCCCACCCTTCGGGTCCACCTCCACCTCCAATATCTCCGGCACCTTCTGCCTCAGATCCCTACACACCCTCGCCAACTCCACAACCTCCTTCGACCTGAAGCAAAACGCCACCGTTTCGCCTCCCCTCCTCATCCCCAACTCCTTCTTCAGCCGAAGAAAGTCCTCCGGATCCATCATCATATGCACGTCCTCAACCTCAGCTAGAAGCTTCCAGATCCGCTCCACCGCGTGGCACTCACTCGCCGCTTCCTCCAACGCTCTCCTCTCCACCGACTCCACCACTCTTTCCACCAGCCTCCTCCCCGCGCGTGTCCAGCACTCCACGATCTGCTGCGCCGCGTGCACCGTCTTGTTCTCGTAATTCTCCACATGGTCATACGGCGTCGTCTCCAAGGAACGGATCTCGCTAGGCCTGCAAACGGCGTCGTAACGGAGAACCTTTTTTCCCGCGATATTCGCTTCTCCGAGACCCAACGTGTACGTGCACCTCATCATCTCGCATTCCACGGTGGCAAGGATCCTCCTCGCCACGTCCCTGGATCTATGCCACGTGGCGAGACGCGGGAGCAGGCTCTCCTCGCTGTAGCTTCTTCTTTGACCGTTGACAAAGTCGTTGACGTCACTCACGGGTGCCTTGCCACGTGTCTCCGGGTTTTGTTCCTCGTCTTCGCAGAGCATGGCAATGATCTGGACCTGCGCGGTGGCCAGAGACTCAACGCGTCGAGTCCACTCGCGCTTGTTAACGTAGGGCCTCGGGTCCGATAAAACGGTAGCTAGAAATCCGAAGGTGATTTCGAGGCCGTGTAAGGCGGGCTTTAGGATGGGCTGGTTGGCCCAACCGGGAAAGTCGTTGAAGGCCCAAAGATTTCTGAGGTCGGGGAGGCGTAGGTAGTTGTCATAGGCAGCACAAACCGGGGACGACGCTGCAGTGATGTCGTTTTGGGGAAGGGGGATTTGCAAAGTGGGGATTGGGATTTTGTTTTCCAAGAGAGAGAGTTTGGGGGACTTGGGAGGCATGTTGGAACAAACCATCTTTGTTTGCCAATCTAGATCAACCATGCTTGCAGACTTATGGATGGATAGATAGTTTGAGAAGCAGAAAAGATGGAGTTTTCCGATTTTTGTGAATTAGAATTTAGAATTGTTATGATGAGATTTGAAGAGAAGGTGAGAGATGGAAGTATATTTATACGGAGACGGGGTTAGAGAGAGAGAGTGCGTGTGTGTGGAAATTTAAAGAGAAGAGAGAGAAAGACGTGTGGACCGGGGATGGATGGAATCAGACAGAGGGCATGCACACATGAAGAACAAGGAATTTGAAAGTCGCAATTCTGCGGAATGATTTTCTAAACGCAAAGCCAAGTCTGAAAAGTATTTTTATTTTAAAAGTGATGGTTTGGAAATAATAATAATAATAATAATAATAATAATAATAATAAGATAAATAAATAAGTGATGGAGGAAAAAGAGGGGCACATAAAGCTTATCCATTGGTAAGGTGTGTCGTAAAAGGACAAGAAAGGAAGTTGAAGGAGAAGAGCGTTTGTGTTGTGTTTGTTTGGAGTAGATAGTGGAGTCGTTTAAGTTTGACCTTCTAAATCTAAGCTATTACAAATGCTAATACGCGTTCCAACCCCACTCTTGAGGAAATAACTCCGCACCATCGCTACTACATGAGCGTAAAATCAGTTCATTTCTGGCTCCAGTTCCACAACACCACTAATCCAATCAATTTTTTTCACCCTCATTATCCATAATTCCAAATGCCTCTTCCCTTTTTATTCATATCCTCCTATTCACATTTTTCGTACAAACTTATTAATTCCACACATAATCCATAAGGATTTTTCTAGGTATATTTTCCATTTTTCACTACTAAAGATTTACCACGTATAAAAGGGTTCCTCAGTTTTTATAAGTATTACTCAGTTAGTCTTTCACTCATTAATTAAAACAAAATTAACAAAAGTGCACGCTTGAACGTTAACTATATGTTAGTAGAAAATCGAGAAAAGCGATCGAAAATGAAGGAAAGGAAAGAGAGAACACGTGACTGATAAAAAACCATTCAATGTCTAAAGCACGTAACACAACATCAGGAAGTACAATCGAGAATTGGAGAAACAATAGTCAAAAGTTTATTGTGGAACAAATCAAAAAATTAGAAGTATATGATGCTAAGGTAAAAAAGGGATCAAAAGTAAATCCAAAGTTCTCGATAAAATCGAAGTCTAAATCGAAAAAGAGGTTAACCCACATAAAATCAAAATCGTGACCAAGAGGAGTTAAACACGCATATAGGAAACAGTTTCTAAATCGTAGCAGAAGTTAAAGATCATGGGAACGTGGATACAGTTTTGACACCACAGAAGAAGAAACCGCAACGCGCACGAAGAACGTGGTAGCAATTTTGTTAAGCTGCTCTCGGAAGGCTTGAATGATGCCCTATAAATAGTGCAGAGGAGGAAGGAACAAGGGGGAGAAATTGGCGAGAGAACGAGAATCGGTAGTGAAAAGTCTACGGAGAAACGACGAACACCATGCAGTTTCTAGTAATCTGGATTTCTCTCGCTCACTCGAGTACATTTACCGTTTTACGTATTTTCCTTGGTAATTTACTTTGATGCAATTTAAATTCGGCAGTTTATGTTTACGTATTTTCGATTCATTGCCATTTCAATTCAATGAAAGTTTGAATTTACGTATTTATGATTTCTTGTTAACATTACGCAAATCTCGATTTCTGTCATTTATTTTTCTTGCAAGCTCGATTTTCTCGTCATTTACATTTGCGCTGTTTTCGATTTCTTGTCATTTACAATTATTTTCCTTGGTAATTTATGCTTCAGCAATTTTATGTTTCTGTACTCTCTATTCTTAGTCATTTCAATTCAATGCAGGTTTAAGTTTCTGTATTTTTGATTTATTGTCATTTACATTTCCTGCACATTCCGATTTCCTGCCATTTATATTTGCACTATTTTCGATTCTTCGTCATTTACAATTAATGCAAATTTAGGGTTTTCGCACTTTATATTTTCTTGCAATTTAATGTTCTGTTTCTCGATTCGATACTTTACTGCTTTCAGTACTTTAAATACAAAATACCAAAAACAGCTTTCTTGATATCTTGTGATTTTCGATCCTCATACACGTTTTCGATTGAAAGTCAGACTGCTAGCCTAAGTAAAAAGAACTTACGTGGGAGGATTTCAATTAGGACCATAACACTGTTTAGAATCGAAATCGATCGAAATTCCACCAGAAACAAATTGGCGCGCCAGGTAGGGGACGTCTTGTGTTGAGAAACACAAAATTGGTTAGTTCGAAATTGTATGAGATTAAGGAGTGGGAGAGTCATGAGTCAGAGTTCATCAAATAACCAAGGTAACAGTGAGGGATTAAATGGGTCACACCCACCAAATGCTGGGGGAAAAACCATAATGGGAACACGCTGTAGTATCGACAAGCTGTAAGTATGTCGATACCGTGAGTAATGAACAAAATTCGGGCACTTTAGCGAATACTCAAATAGGATCTAGTGTGGTTGCACCAAATAATACGCAAACTATAGGAAATCCCACCACTACATATGTAGGGCCACGTATGAGCGTAAGACCGCCCGGGTTTTCACTTAATAGTGTAAGTGGGGTTGGAACTTCTTCAGCGCATAGGAATTCGAGATATAACTTAGGAATGTCCCAAACACTAGGTATGCCGCAAAATTTTGGAATTCCTCCGAATTTAGGGACATCTCAAAACTTAGTAATTCCCCAGACAGGGAGTGGACAGAATGTAGGCACACAACAGATATCTCCAAATCTAGATCATAGGGGAAACTTAGAGCATGGGAGACATATATTCGACAGAGACTATCATCGATCTAATTTTGATTCTATTGAAAACATGGATACCGAGATATCTAGTAATTCATTAGGGGTACTTAGACAACAAATGGATGAGAGTAATTTTGAAATGGTGAATATGTTATCACAACGATTGACCACGAGTCTTAAATCCATTAGTGCAAAACACTAATGCTAGTTTTGAGATATTAGCGGACCAAATGTCACGAATCGGGGATGCATTGGCTATACCTCGACAAACAAGGATAGAAAATCATGCTACTTAATAATCCCCGTATCTATTGAGGAGAAATAGAAACAACGATCAACATCGGCATATGGGAAATGGGTACCAACACGTGAGGAATGACATTTATGGGAATTTGAACGAAGGATTTCAAAATATACACAATCAGAATAATATGTTGGGACAAATGATGAATTTACAAGGGATGGAATTTAGACCACCCAATCGGACATATTTTGTGTCTCCCTTTCCGAATGCGATTCTCGAGACAGAATTGCCTCGAGGATATAAAGTACCCAAATTCACTAAATTTCTTGGAGAAGTTGGTGAATCGACCATCGAGCATGTAGCTCGATATCGGATCAAATGTGGGGATTTAGCGATGAGTGAAAAATTAAAGATGAAATATTTTCCTAGTTCTTTAACTAAGAATGCTTTTACTTGGTTCACTTCGTTGCCACCCAATTCGATATATAATTGGTTGCAGTTAGAGAGAAATTTTCATGAACAATTTTTTAGAGGAGAGACTCAAGTAAGTCTCATCGATTTGATGAACATAAAACGATACAACCATGAGAGTATAGATGATTATCTAAATCGATTTAGACAAATGAAGTCGAGATGTTTTACTCAAATTCCTGAATACGAATTAGTCGGGATGGCTTCTGCGAGGTTTAGAATTCTCGATCAGGAAAAAATTAGTCAATTTACCATTGAATGACATGGCTCGATTAGTCGATAAAGTGAGAAGAGTGGAACAAATAGAGTATGAGAAACAAAGGTATAAGAAATATGAAAAACCTTTAAAAAAGGAAAGAATAGCGTACATAAATGATGTATATGAGACGAGATGATATGACGAGAGAATGATATTGAAGAAACTGTCGATGAGAAAGTAAACATAGCGAGAACTCAAAGTAGGGGCTCCATATACTTGTAAATTGCTACAAAAAAATGAAGTAAAAGATAAAATGACAAATCGAACATATACTTTTGATGTAACAAAAGCGAGACAAAATCTTTGATATTTTATTGAAAGACAAACAGATTAAGTTGAGTGATGATCATAAACTACAGTCTACGAGAACAAAGGAATGGTCGAAAATATTGCAAATATCATAATGTTTATGGACATTGGACTAACAATTGTATACATTTCGGGAACACGATCCAAGATGCGATCGACCAAGGAAGGTTGAGGTTCGAAGAAATGACAATGAAAGTTGACACGAGTCCATTCGAGGCTCAAGTAGGATACCTCGAATCCCAAACGGGCATTGCGATGATGTCCAGATTAACAAATTCGGCCTTTGTAGGCATGGTAGATGTCAGCGAGGACATCGATCCTAAGCATGTCGGAATGGATGTATCCGAGGAAGACATGGAATTTGACTCGAGTGAATTCGAGAAAGAATTTGAAAAGGAAATATACCCTCGATCGGGAGATTCTCTCATTGAATTTTCGAATAGAAAGAAGGAAAAAGACGAGGATGTGTCATTATGCCCACGTTGCGGTGCGGTTTTTGATAAATCGAGTGCCAAAGCTTTGGAACGAACGAGATGAAGAAGATCGAGAACCAAAATAAAAGGAAAAATGACAAAGTAGATCAAACGATCGACCAACGATCGAAGAAAGTCGGCGAAATCCGTTGGCTACGGTGTTAGTGAAAATCGGAGGCGAGTGGATTAGAAGAGAGATGTATCCTTCTCGAGGAGGAAGAGGTAGACTTCAAAGTAATGATGTTTTCGAAAGACTCTCGTATGATGATGGATCGACCACTAGATTCCCAACATTCCAAAGAAGATTAGAGGAAGGTCACGGAGAAGAGGAGGAAGGATCCCTATTGGAATCATTACAGAAACTTTGAAGAAAATGTTGCACTTAGATAGAGAGTCATTATGCAAGAGAATTTTTCGATGACAAGAATGATGATACTTGGGACGAACATCAAATCGGGGTAATATCA